AGCACAAAGAATAAAGCTTTCAAAAGAATTATCAAAACGCTCCACTGGAAAAACATTATACATTTTAGACGAACCTACAACCGGATTGCATTTTGCAGATATAAATAACTTACTGACAATACTGCACAAGTTGGTTGATACGGGAAATACGGTGATAGTTATTGAACATAATTTATACGTTATAAAGACGGCAGATTACATAATAGATATCGGACCAGAGGGGGGTGCAAGAGGTGGCAGAGTGGTAGCCAGAGGAACGCCAGAAGAGGTAGCTAGCATGCTAGAAAGTGTTACTGGCAAATATCTTAAACAACACCTGCAAAATTAGCGCAAGCATAAATAGTTACAGTTGTTTTTGATCTAGTTATGGCTGGCTTTTTTAGGTTTAAAACATCAAATATGAGAGGATGGGAAAAATTTAAAACAAAAAAATAAACCATAGACTTCTTTAAGTCATATATACATGTTGCTTGCACTTTTACCTCCCTCCCATCCTAAATCTTTACCTTATTTTGCTATCGATGAAAATAATATTCATTATTTTTTAAGATAAAACATTTAAAATACCAGACATATTATTCAAATGGCTTTATTGTGGTGGTACATTCTTTAATTATAGCAAATATTCCTATCTTTTTCCTACATCTTAACTGCGTATAAAGCTATTTTAAGTATTAAATTCAATTTTTAATTGTTTTATTTTCAATTTTAAGTTGAAATCTATTGATATACACAATTGTAAATATATATAAATAATTAGTTTTTAATATTGAGGCTTTAAACATGTTCACTAGAAACAAAATAAGAGGTGGTTGTGGCACAGACATAACACCGCTAATAAATGACTTGCTAGGAGTAGCAAAAAAGGGTGGCTTAATCAAAAAGTATCTGAAAGGAGCTATTAATATTACTAATGAAGATGAAGAAGGCAATAATGTTCTACACATTATTGCTTCGATGCCTAGAAAAGAGAAAATTACATGGCTGAATATTATACTTAAAGTTGGGATATCTAAAGATCAACTTAAAAAAGCAATCAATGCTAAAAATAGGGATGGATTAACCCCTATGCAAAAAGCATTACATGCGAAGATAAACAAAAAAAGTCATTATCACAGTACAATTTCCAGTAGTGATAACACGTTTAGATTTATTGTATTGTTATTAAACAATGGAGCTAAAACTGATCATCTGCAATTATCTGAAGAATACTTAGCAGCTCTGTCTAAATCTCAAGAAAACTATCGTATTAATTTTTTAACAAAACTAACTAGCAAAAAGATTAAACAAGTAAATACTAATATAACACACTGTGATAGTGGCTTTGAAAGTTGTCCTGATGACGCTGATACAAGGACTTCAACACATCAAACAAAGAAAACAGAGCCTGTATTAGCAGAAAATAACAGTGAAAATCCATATGCAACAATACAGAACAGCAGTAAAACAAAAGATGACTTTAACAGTTCATTAAAATCAGTCAAAGAAAAAAACTTAGCAAATTTCGAAAAATACTTGGAAAAAATTTGCGTTACCACCACAGACACAGAAGTCAATAATATTTTACATCTGATTGCTTCAATGCCTCGCAAAAAGAAAATTACACGGTTGAATCTTATACTTAAAACTGAGATACCCAAAGATCAACTCGCAAAAGCAATAAATACTGAGAACAAGAATGGGTTAACTCCTATGCAGGTAGCATTAAGTACTAAAATAAACAAGGAAAGTCACCATCATAATGCAATTACCGATAGCGATAATACACTTGAATTTATTATAAAGTTATTAAAAAATGGAGCTAATCCTAGTCATTTACAATTATCTGAAGCACTGTCTAAATCTAGACGAAACTATTATTATTATTTTTTAAAAAAACTAGCTCTATCTAGTAAAGATAAGATTAGACAAACTATTGATCATATTATTTATGGTCGATATCCATTACACCTAGCAGTTCTTAAGGAAGATCAAGATATGTTTAGTAATCTCCTTTTACAAGATTCCTCTGTCACCAATATAGACAAAGAAAGTAATAACAAAGATTATTCTATTACCGATATAAATGAAGAAGGTAATAACATTTTGCATCTCATTGCTTTAATGCCCAATAAAGCGAAAATTACATGGTTGAATCTTATATCTAAAGATGTATCATTTAATAATCAACTCACAGAAGCAATAAATGCTACAAACAAGAAAGGGTACACTCCTATACAAGTAGCAATAGTGAAAAAAATAACTAAAGATGCTCACAGAGCATTTACAATATTTGACAATACTGTAAATTTTTGTATAAGATTATTAAAACACCCTGCGTTAAACAATGAAACCAAATCTGAGGATTATCGTCGTCATTTTGTATTACATGGAAAATATAGTAGGGATAGATATATTAAATTTTTACAAAAATTAATCAAAGATGAAAGAATAAATGCAGGTCATGCAAAAGACAGTTTAGATGACATTCTGAAAGAACAAATAGCTCAACATCAAGAAAATAAAAAATTAAACAAGGATATTAAAAATGCTAGGAATAATTGCTGGATCAAAACGAAAAAGTGCGGGAAAGTTATACTCGATTTTATTAATCCAAACAAAACAGTAGATAGAATGACCAAATTAGCGATAGCTGCCCTCGCTGTTATTGCTGCTTTTTTTACATTTATAATAATAGCATTTGCTGCAATTAATGGTCAGCTTCCTATAGCGGCAGCAGTACCTATAATGTTAGTATTTGTAGTTACTCCTACAGTCATAAAATATTTCCAAATCAATAATGAATTAGAAAAAATTGATAACTCTGCTAAAAATGAAAAGCCTAATAGCAGGGTGAATGATGCGCTCACTCGAGCCTTCAAGAATGGTATTAGAGTTCTCAATTAATTAGACCTTATGTCTTGAAAAGCACCTAAGATTTTAACGCTTTTTTAATATAAAAGGGAGTATATACCAAATTTTGCAAGAAGTTGACATGCATAAATAGA